ACTATTAACTCTGAAGTATCACTATTACCTGTAAAACATCACTATTACCTGTAAAGAATCACTATTAAATGTAAAGCATCACTATTAAATGTAAAGCATCACTATTGACTGTTTAACATCACTATTACCTGTAAAGCATCACTATTAAATTGAAAGTATCACTATCATCTGTAAAGAATCACTATCATCTGTAAAGTATCACTATCATCTGTAAAGTATCACTATCATCTGTAAAGTATCACTATTACCTGTAAAGTATCACTATTAAATGTAAAGTATCACTATCATCTGTAAAGTATCACTATTATCTGTAAAGTATCACTTTTATCTGTAAAGTATCAGTGCAGACAATAAACACAGATGTGCAATTACAGCAGAATTACTTTAAAAGTTTAAATTGGGTAATAACAGAGCACTGGGCACTAAATAAAGAAATAATTAAATAAATGTTTATAATAAATAAAGAAGATAATATCCAGAAATAAGATGTATGAATATCGGTGGCTTACCTTCCATTGGAGTGGGGGAAGGAGTCGGAGCAGGCGAAGGGGACTCGGTCAGCTGGTCTAATGTCCCACGTTTCTTCCCATCCCGAGACTTGGCAATGACCATCTGAGCTTTCAGTGCATCTTGCTCCAGAGACTTCATTCTGCACGGAGAAAACAAAAACAGTCAGAAGAATAACTCAGACACYGACAACAGGATCAGAATCACTCCTAATTACGGGTGCTCCTTGTCCTGGATTGCTGCTACAATCTTATTTCATTGAAAGGTTTACAGAAGGAGTAACGGGGGCATTCCAGGAAAAGGACTACCTACTGCTAGTAGGTTTACCCTCAACTCACAACAGCTTGCAAACTGACTGCGGGCGTAGTGTTAGTAAAAAAAACAAAAACACACTACAAGAGAGAGCAAGGCACAAATAAAAAAGGAAGAGGGCTGCAGAGGAAGGACAAGACAGAGAAGAGAAAAGCTGAAACCAAAGGCAGCTACAAATGAAAATATCTAAAGTCGTGCAGAAGCAAAACAGAACTAGAAAGGCAGTGAAAGCACTTTTAGTGTTGCTGCCAGTGCTTGCTTGGACCTTTCTGAATTTACCCCAAAAWCTCAAAGCACCCCAGCACACCCCATAATGCCGTGCATCTGGCCCTAGTGGCTGGGGCCAAGGAGCAGACCTGAGCTGGGAGGCTGCAGAGGAGGTAGAGGAGGCAGCATGAGGCTGGGGGGGTGCAGCTGCGCCCTGAGAGGCCCTCACTCTGGCCTGGTAGAGCCTCTTAGCCAGGTCCTGCTCATACTGTCTAACATCCTCCTCGAGGCCATAAGGCCTGGGCCCCACCCACAGAGAGGGGAGGGAGAGGAGAGGAAGAGGGAGCGGGATGAAAGGTAATCCAGGAGGAACGATGAATATGAAGAGGAGGGGAAAGAAAAGGCACAAACAGAAAAAAAGAGAAGAAAATCCAAGAATGGAAAGTAAAACACTGACAAAATTAGGAGAACCAGGAACAATAAGTTTGAGACAAGACATTAGGGTGAAAGAAACACAGAACACAGAGCTTCGATTTACAAACGTACAAGTCTGAATATTTAAACACTTACTGTATAATTAAGATATTTGAAACTCAAGATTCACAAACCTCCTTTCTGTGATGTTTATTATTTTAGCTGAGTCAGTTTAATCCAAATAGTTTTTTAAACCTTAATGTAGCAACAAACAAAATGTTGCTATTTTAGGGTAAAACAGCTCAACGATATACGCTGAGCTAAAGACTAAATGTTTTATTTTCTGTAAAAAAACATTAAGGTATTTGTTAGATTATTTCTTTGTTGTAACGATGCTTCTTGGCAATGAATCTTACACCYTTGAAAAGCCTGTTAATTTCCCTTTTAAATGGTGCCACATTTGTAAGGAACATGCATTTGTGGGATGAGCAGTAGAGCTGAGTATGTGGGTTGTGCACATGAAAAATTTGCCAAATCTTGTCTGCCAAACAGCTTATTTAAAGCCTCTGGTACATCCAGGTGCTGCCAATCAGGAGACCACTGTAAGATTTAACCTCTTAAGCCCCAAGGGGTTTTCTTGATATTTTTTGCTTGAAATACCATACTGAAATGTAATTGAGTGTATCTCAGCATTTACAAACTCTACCTAAATAATCTTAGTATCAAAATAAAGCAACACTTGGGGAGCTTTTATTAAAAGTGTTAGTATTAAAACAGCTGCTGTTGTTGTTTTAGAGATATTGAGGATGAAACATTTTTATTTTTCTCTCCCATCTGAACAACTTTTTCATTAGACAGTATATAACCCATTTAAAACCATAATGAATCAGGCTAAAAACTCTTGGAAACCATAAATCCACTTGTGGACATCACCTGTGCAAAGATTCATGCTGCTAAAATTAACCGGAGCAAAGTTACAGAGGTTTTACTAAAGAAATAATTTTACATTTTGTCATTCTGCACAGGACAGACCATGATGGTACCATTAAGAAATGTTAAGAAATCTTAAGTTTTTATGTCCAAAAGTTATTTATCTTTTAAAAAAAATATTCAAACATTTATTTGTCACCATACATGTTATTTAAAACAATGAGAAATTATACTCGACTTCAGTTGGATCATATTCACTCAAAATCAAGTAAAAAAAAACTTTCAACAAACTTTACAACCTGTTTTGGTATCTGCTTTGACTTACTTTAAAAACAAATGTCAAAAAAATTTCCTTTAAAGATTTGCTTGAATGTATTTACAGATTTACACAAATCCTATTTTGTCCAGTTTGTTTACTTTCTGATTCAACTGCCAGTCATTTGAACTGTGTTTAGTGGATTTAAATATTGTTTCCATGAGTCTTTAGCCAAGATTCTTAGCTTCCTATTGATACCAAACATGTCCAGGTTCAACTGACAGATTAACAGAAGTTAAAAGATATAGAAAATGGAAAATGCTGTTTTGCTCTCGGTACCGGGGGCCTGGGGCTCAAGAGTTAAAGCCAAGACACATTACAACAACAAAAAAAAATAATGTACCAAACCTAATTTACTTACGTTTTATGCCAAGCATAAATTCATATGATGCTGCCCTACATATAAAACTACAATGAATTGTAGTAATAYTTGACACGTCTTGAGGTGAGACTGCATCATAAATGTACAAAACGTCATATTTGACAACATATTTGTTGTTTAAAAGTGAAGCGGTTACCGTGCAGCCCTCCACATGGCCCTCTTCTCAGCTTCCAGGGCTCGTTTCTCTGCCGGGGACAGGTCCTTGTCAGGGGCCACAGCCAGCTCTGGACTCTGCATGCGYAGTCTCTCTTGGTGTCTTCGTTCGGCTTTGGCCGTGCGGATCGGAGCCGACGACTCTCCGGGGTAAACTGAGGTCAGACTGGTGAGACGCAACAAATCAACCACACCGCGACTAACAGATGTGTCAAACAGATTGTGTAGTTTATATTTACCCTGTCATAGAGTTGGGCCTCTGCTCCTGCCTGAAACTGTCCTCCAGTGAATTCCTTTGGGAGTCTTTACCATCCACTGAGGAAGGTCTACACAGGAAAGAATGAGGTTAAGTGGCAGAGATGATTCGAAAAGGAAAACATTTGGAGTACGCAGTTCTTACCCCGAGCTTCCTCCATAGCTTGGCGGTGTGATGTTGTAGTTTGGCGGTGTGGAGAAGTGTGGCGATGGCGAGGACACCGGCTCCACATTGTACTCTACTCCATCCAACAAGACCTTTCCTGTTGCCTTCATTTGTGCCACCTGCTTAGCCAGGTCTTCCTCCTCATCCTCTTCATCTTCATCCATTAGGTACTCCCGCGCCCGCTGCTCAAACCTCCTCTCTGTGAGAYACGCCATCAGACAAGTGTATAAACTCCCATGAAAGAGTCAGTTATGTTTTTATTGATTATTACAAACCAAAACAGTGGTGAAAACAAACCTTCCTCCTCCCTCATCTTCTTGAGATCGTCTTCTCCGACCAGGGAGACTCTGGGTTTRGGTTTCTCTGGAGTCTGCTGCTTCACGTCAATCTCAAAGTATTTCTGCCTGTCCCTGAACGAGCGCTGTTCTGGGCTGTCCTTTCCACCAGGAGACGGGCTCTGAGTGGTTACAAGAGCAGACGGTTGAACTAACAGAGGTAAGAAGATCCGAGAACTCCTGCACAGTTCCTGTTGTAGAGCCATTTGCAGCCAGAGATGCCAAAAAGACCAAGAGGAAAGCAATGCATTAATACCCAGCACCATTTCACTGACATCAGACCAGCTAACACTGGCAGTCCCATTACTGACAGGAGTTTCATAGTTTTGTCTCCGTTTCTGGGAACAGAGAAGCCACCACCGGTCAAGCCAAGCACCCCACAGCCTCAACGAACAGGGCTGGTTTAGTCCAGGTGAAGGTGAAGTGGATACCTGCAGGTCCATGGACAGCCTGGAGAGGCGAGGCACTGCTGCCAGGCTCATATAGTCCCGGCGATCAGACGAGAAGGAGGACCGGGGGGAGAACTTACTGGTCAGATCCTGACCAGTGTTTTTACTATCAAACACCTCATCATTCATGTCCGACTAAAAAGGGTCAGACACATCAGTACAGCACATGTTGAGTGCATTTAGACAGCAACAGAATSTGTGTTTAGCTCCTAAATGGCTCCAGGAAAGACACACATTTACAGGATGATATTTGTTATTGACGCGTGCTTCAACTAAAAAACTGTCATTACAAATTCTATTAAATTCCAAGGCTGAAACACCTTGAATAAAACTATAAACATGAGCTTAAACCAGTGGTGCCTAATCCTAGTCCTAAGGCCAGTATCCTGAATGCTTTCGATGTTTTTAACCTGATTTGGATGAGTGAGTGAGACACAATGAAGAGCAGGGAAACAACTAAAACATGCAGGATGCTGGCTCCTCCAGGACCAGGACTGGCCACCACTGGCTTAGAAATATGGTTGATATCTTTGCTCACCTCTGGAGAAGGTTGCTTTGGGTGGATATTGTTCTTCCCAGCATATAGGTCCTGTTGGCAGAGAAAATTAATTGATAGTGTAGAAAAAAACATGCAGGAGAAACAGACACTAAACAGGCAGACTGGAGTATAATAAAAAGTAAACATAAGATTAAATGTTAGTGCATCAGCCACACAAATACAGACAAATGGATCAAAAGTCAGCAGCGGTACAACAGATGATGGAAGGTAAGCACAAAACCCGACAATGAGCACATTCCACAGGTCACAGCACGTCACAGAGCCACCAGGACAAAATACGGGCTTGGTTTGGGTCGGCCTGCGTCGGACAGGTGGAAGGGGGCGGAGCCAGATGAACCAAGTCAACACGGCATGCTTGTGTCGTGACCCGCTCAGGTCCGGTCAGCACGTCCTACCTGCGGCYGCTCCAGCACAGCCAGTGAACGAGGCACGGCGGCAAACGCCTTGTATGCCTGCTTGACATTCAATGGAAACTCGTCGGGCGATAGGGGGGAGGGGGCGCGAGGCTGCAGGGAGGGGGAGGAGTCATGGAAAGTAAGTCCATGTGGTAAAGAAGGCAGGGGAAGGGTAGGACAAACAGACACACGGAGCAGAAGGTAGACAATGAAAAGGAAAAAAWAAWWAAATAAAATCCTGTGAAGTTTAAGACGACTGTGGAGAACAGGTGAGCAGCGTGGCAGCTGGTTTAATGAGGAAGAGGAGGACAAATGGAGAGAAAGACAGACAGTAGGGCTTGGGCAGGCAAAGCAGATTGTTTTTCTTGTTTATACAACTCTGTGAAACAACCGGGCGTTGATGAGTGAACAAAATAATAATTTTGTTCATTGTTTTCTGATTTACTGCTTGCCACAAAAATAAATTAAGAACATTTTAGAAATCTAAAATCCTTGTCAGGTAAGTTTGACTCAGGAGCTCGGGGCTGAACTCAGCACCATAACAGAGTTCATAAAAMACCTTCAGGTGTGTCTGAGAGTAAACCAACACCTGAACAGACCCGGCTCCTCGGTCTAATCAAATACAAAAGCACTGCTGTCAGACACACGCTCATCGTTTCAGGGTGTGTCACCTCAGCACACGGCACAGACATMTCTAACGACCAGCCCTACGTGGTGGTGAGGGGTCTTACAGAGGTCTGGGAGTTGAATGGGGAGGGGCCATGCTGAAAGGGGTTAGGACTGTGGCCCTCCGGTGTGGCGGGGGAGGTGCTGGGCCTCACTCGGCCAATCGGTTGTATGGCACCAGGTCGCGTCTGGAAGGAAAACAAATCATTTATTTTCCTGAGTGAGATTCCAAAGATGAGGAACGTTCAAGTGAATGACAACGGAAAATAAATGGAGTTAATGGATGAAATGAGTTTGAGCATAAAATAAATATTTGGATTTTTATAGAATATATATGTAATATATTCCCACACCTCTTTACAACTCTAAAGACAATAAAGAATGATTTAAAGGGGGTGTATTATWCAAATCGATTTTTGAGCTTTTTATCATGTTATTCTCTCAGAGTGTTGCWTTGATTCATTCATGAGTGTTTGAGGAATCCTTGAATCTCCTGTGGTATTCATGTGGAGCTGCCTAAACACTTGCTGGCACAAAGCTCCGCCTATCTGTACAAAGCTCCTCAGTCTGCAGCCCAGCTCCCGACCTACAGAGCACCTCCTCAAAGCTCCACGYCAGCAAAAATTAGCAAACYCCTGGTGGATCTYCACYTRTGTTGAGCTTGTAATACTAACTACAAAACGTAGCTTCYTAARGATCCATATTTATAGTTTCTTCACAAAAAGTGGTTTAACATTGACCTGTATGAGAGCATGACTGGGAGACATTTTACCAAGCTGAAACACAGACATACACAGAGCCTCTGTACTTGCTCGGGTTCTTCAGAATAAAAGTACTTTCAGGGTACAAAGTGGGATCATTTCTCAACTGTATTCTGTTATTTTCCAAAACTGATATTACATAATGTTGCTTCTTTTTTTTTTTACAACGCTCTTATGAAAGGTTGTAAACAGCATGAAGCACTGTTGTGAAGACGTGCTGAAGTGGGAGTATCAGAAATGATAGGAGGTTCTTAAAAAGGCAGCAGCTAATCTGAAGGTGTTTAGATAGACTATGATGCAAAATCAAATTTATTTTTGATATATACAGGATTTTTATAACTGAAGGTAATGTAGTTACTTGATTGTGGTGTAAAAATGATCTATGTGCCTTGAAAATACATAACACCCCACCTTTAAAAACAAWTTTATATTAAATGTATTTTTTAGTATCACACTGTTACAAGCTGACTCAATATATTTAGTTTAAAAAGTGCAATTCATACTGTAAAACACACAATTTTTCCTCACAGCTTCATTGACACTCACTGATGATGAAGTGTTGTCCTTGACAGTGGGAGTGGAGGTGTAATGAATGCTTGCCTGTAGGGAAAAAAGCATTAAAACTACATTAAATTCTATGACGTTGATGTAAATATGCACGAGTCAGCACCTTCTACTTTAACTTCAACCAGCAGAGCAAACAGTCTCTACATTTTAGTGAATAGATCTCAAACAAATGCACCATCAGTGTTCATCTGGAGTTAATGTGATTGCTCTGTGTGATATTCTGATGTGTGCAAGTAGATACACGACCCTAACAACTGTTCCTGGTTTTCTTTGAGAAATATAAAGCCAGAGCTGGTCAGTGGAGATTTTAGGTACAGACTCCCTCTCAAAACAATGCACATCCAGTCTGCTTGAAGCAAAGCATCAGTWATCAGCTGGCCATTGAGAAGCATTCACATGCTGTTCAGAGCTTAAGGCAGCAGTCTCAAAGAGGCCCAGAAACCCACTTACAAAGCGGGTCTCCTTGCCTGCACACAGGGAGCTGTTGGAGGAGTGGTGGCTGGGCTAAGGGTGGGAAGGAAGGTCAAGAGGGTCAGCTGTGAAATACCTCCTCTAAAGAGCTAGAAGTGACTCATGGGAGAAGGATAAAGTAAATTAAAAGATGGTTTGATGGCAGGTAGTGATGGCTGGAGGGTGACAGCAGCTCACCGGCTGGATAGTTGGAGAGTAAGGGGCTTCTCTGATTGGACTCTCCGTCCTGGTGTAATCCGAGGAAGGCGCCTAGGGTAGGAAAAAACAAATTAAAATCACATTCAATCTGCTGCTCCGAGTGTCAGACTGCACTGAAAACTCTGCATTATTCCTTAGTAAGTAAAACAAATCTGCTGATAAACATGCAGCTCACTGTGCACCCCACAGTCTGCATTCCTTCATGACTTGTGACCTTCCCTGCAGCTGCTGGGTCAGCTAATCTAGTCAATCTGGACTGTCGGAACTCCCGAATGCCTCAAAAGATGCCACAAGCTGTGCTCACAGCAAAAGCATGCACCAGTTCACCTTGTTGTTATAAACACAGATTAATGCACATAACTAACACCAACAGTTTAAAAACCTAATTTCATCGGGACAAAGACTGCATTTTCACTGCCAGCATTTGTTAATTTACATTCACACGACTATTAACAGATTAAATTTCTGTACACGCTCTAAAATGTTTGACCCAGTGAGTGACACTAAGTGCACAGCAAAACAACATGCTGCCTCCAAACTCCACTCAGGCATCTTGCCTTGGTGAACAACCAGGGCTGCAGCTTTCCCTGCCTGCCGTAGCCCACCGGAGGCCCTGACAGGATCTGCTCCCCGGGAGGACGGCCCCTTCCTTTCCGATTAGCCACTAAGAAAGGGTTTTCTTGGAAGCACATTGGCTGCGAGTCCACCAGGCACTCCTCTTCCTCTTCCTCTTCAGGAGTGAACGATGACGCTGAGTTAACAGCTGTTGTTGAACCAGAACAGTCAGTGATCGTGGGCGTCCCATTTGGGGAGAACTGGGATTCGTGAGGATAATCGTGGTCTGGGCTCAGAGCGGGGCTGACAGGTTTGGTGTATTGGTTCAACCCGAAGACTGTGGGGTCTAAGGGAGATCCGTACTCGGCCTGCAGGGGGGCCTCCATGGGAGCGACAGAAGCCGAGAACTTAACAGGAGCAAAGGAGAGAGAGAGAGATAATGTGCTGGAGACGGACCAAGACCGACAGCAGAATGTGAACTCGACAAAACAGTCGCTCACACTARTTAACTTAATGAACTTTAAACTGGCCTACAGAGGCAGACATGTTTTATCTTTTCATATTTGTAATAAATAAAGTAACATTTTAAAACTGAAGAATAAGAGGAGTAAAAACTCCTGTTTCAGTAGATTCATACATAAAAACTCAACACAGTATCCTCCTGCTGCCATCACTATCTGCATTTCCATCGCAAATGTGCACAAACCTTTGTCGATATTCTGTTAATGTTGAAAAAACACAGTTTTGCAATTGCGGTGTTTTCATTAAATAAGAAATGCTATTAAAGTCACGGGTGAATACATTTGTTCTCGCAATAAGTCATTGCAAACATGGCAGTAACAAACGTAAACACATAGCATATTGGTYGCACGACACTAGCGCTCATCATCAGCCATCAGAGGAGACGTCGGCGTCTTATCGAGGCTTTGCAGTGACAAGCTCCTTATACTTGGGAGCGGCTACGTATGCTGTGTTTTTGGGAAATTGTAGTCGGTGAGTTTACTACTTTGTTTTACAACTTCAGTGATTTTACTACTACTTCTACTTCCTGTTGTCTTCTTCTTTGTCGCCTTTTTCTCTAGTAGAAACAACCGGTTGTTGATCACGTGACTCCCGTGATGTGAAAAAAGTGTTTCCATTGCAGTTTTGCGAAACACACCAATTTCAATACAGCTGAAAAACCACCTCATCCTAGCGCAAAAACATTTTATTGAAAAAATGAYGTTTTTTTTTCTAAATTGACGTGTTTCCATTGAGCAAATTTATTTTCGAAATTCTAATTTGCGCATCTTCATAGTCAATGGAAACGCAGCTAGTGACTCTCTTCTAAAGCATTAAAGATATGTTTATAAGCACCCATCATTCTAGTCTTAACTGGTGGTGTCTGCTACAAAAGACACATTCCTGCAGCACCAGCTCTCAGATATAGTTTTAAATAAACTTTATCATTTCAGAGAGGAACTCAATTTTTAGCTTGTGATACAGGGTACCTCACATGAAACGTTTTCACACAACTTTAAAAAGTCTGCACTTCAAACTGTTGAGGAATTTTTTTTTTCTTTAAACCTGATCTCTGAAAATAATCGTGGCAGCCAGACTAAGAATACACCAGGTATTGTGAAGTGGTGATGCAGCGCTCTATAAAAGTCGGCGGTTTGAGGGTCAGAGGGGTGGAACGTGATCCGGTGCCAAACACAGACTGTGAGGGACAGCTGGGTTTTAGGTGTGAGAGAGAAAAGTCAGGCTGACGACTCGCCAACGAGCGGAGCTGTACACAGTCGCGTGGGAAGAGCAGCTCGTCAACCAGGAACTAAACAGTTCATGGTCAACGCGTTTGGTTTGGAGGGCAGAATGCATAATGAATTATTTCCCCAAAGAATGTGGTTTTAATAAGACAAAGTTAGATATATTTGAATAAACTTTGCTTAATTTGTAGCTCATTTTTTGATTGTATATCTCAGTTGTCACAGGAATCAATYTAATGTCTGTACTTCACCATATTTTTAAATACAACAGTGTAGTAAGTCTATACCTTTGGTGAACATTTATTTGTTTGAACCTCACTGAAACACAAAAWGGATTTTAGATTTGGAGCTCTTCTGTTTTAGTTTCCCTTTTTTCTGAATTTCAGCAAAAACCAAGAGAAAGTGTTTTAAATTTCATCCTGAGCAGAACCACATGGGTCCGCTTCGAACAGCTGCATGTTATATGTAGGTTAAATGCTGCTGTTCTCACAGGACACTGATCTAAAGGTAAAGCACAAAAGCAAATCTATTTACAGTTTATGAGGAAATGCTTTCATTTATGTGAGCAAAAAGCAGCAACTAATCTTCTGAATTGTGTTAAGCTTGTAAAATTAGCAGAATAAAGCTAGGAGGTTCTTTTCMGAAAGGCCTAAACATTAAATTTTAAATAATACAAGTTTAACAGAAGTAGATGAAGAAACAATGAAGAAAGAAAGACAATAAAGTTGAATCAGGTAACTCACTGCAGAATGAGAACAGGACAGAGCTGGACGTCCACACTAACTAATCCACCCAAACTGAGACACTCGTCTGACTCTCTCAGACGACACTTCCTCCTCGCCTGACGGGCACCCCACCCACCCGAGWGACCCGTCCAACTCGGAGCCAGATGCAGGTTTAAAATATCGCAGAGGGTTGTTCGGTTGATAGTGGGCAGCTGTTCCCTTCCCCCCACCTCATCCTGTCACACCAAGACGTCCATGCTGCTCTTATTAACATCATGTTGGTTTATACTCCGGACGAGTTCGGCTTTGGAATCGTTTGAACAGCAACAACTATGATTTCTACACTTTGAGCACGTTACAGTCTTCTTTAAAAGATCCAACTGGTCCCTACAAGGTCACTCAGTTTCCAGAGGCACAAACCACAAATTCCACAAGGGTCTATTCTGAGTGTTGAAGGACTTTTCAAACCAAGGACACACAAGATAACAGAAATTTATGACATGAAGGCATGTTTCAAGCCCGTTTAAACGGTAAAAGCCATCATTCATACATGTAAAACGTGTATGTATGCTGGTAAAGCAGGACTTACCCTGTTGACTTTCTGTAGACTGGTGGTGGGCAGAGCTGCCAGTGTTTTGTAGTCAAGTTTTAAAGGTCCAGTGCCAACGTTCTAATGGGAAATAAGAAGACAGAAGTCTGAGAAAACTCTAGTCTTTACAATTATCCAGTATGTGGCCATCATTTATTTTGTGAAGATAAAAGGGTTTGGCTCAAATTGGCTCTGATTTGAAATAATATTTTATATATATATATATATATATATATATATATATAAAGATACTGGTATCGGTATCGGGTCCGATACCATCATCAAGTACTCATACTCGTAAAAGCCGGCCGATACTCTTAACCGATACCGCTTTAGTCCCATCCTGTGCTGCGCTGCAGCACAAAGGGTAAACAACAATCCATACCAGGCGGTGGCGCTAATGCACTGACAAGTTATTTCCGACCACACCCCCGAATAACAGAAGAAGAACGATGACAGTAGAAGAAGAAGTAACATGTCGGCAGTTTAGAGATATTTTAAGATCGGCACAGAGGACACCAAACAAGCAGACTGTCTGCTGTGCTCTGCTAAACTGTCAAGAGGAGGAGCGAAAGTTGGATGTTTTAACAGCAGCAATTTGATTAAACATTTGAGGACAAGACATGACAAAGAATTCAAAGAGTTTGCTGCTGCTAGCAGTAGCCTTCATAAACAGCACTGTTGTTGCAGTAACTTCAATGCTGTTTTTTTTTTCTTGTAGAACAAACTAAGACATAAGCAGAATATGGAAGGAAGTTTGTTGTAAAAGCATTTTATTTTTCCCTCTGGTTCTTCTGAGATTTTGTTTTAGTTGTTCCATTTAAGVTTGAACTGAAATTTACTGCACTTTATTACTATTAGTAATTTTTTTAACAGTTTAAGACTGAAGCAGAGTAAACTTCTATAGATGTGCTGCTAAAATTTATGTTATAGTTTACATTTTAATTTAAATTTGGTAGTTGCATGTTGAGGAAAATGATTAAAAAATAACTTATTTTGTTTTTTAATGTATGCAACAGCATTTGTTTTGCAGTATTTGTATTGTTAATACATTCAGAGGGAGTGTGGCCTTATAAAAAAGAGCCCTGTTTGAAATAAAATAAATGGTTTCAAAAGTTATGGTGTGATATATATACCAACTTATCTACTTGTCAGAGTTTGCACTACCTTTTTATTGTCAAACATAATATTTACCCATCAATTTTTCTATGATAATTGCATTTCATTTTCATTCTGTTTAATATTTAACAAGTTGAACAGATAATCCACACGAACCCCGCTACTTGGTATCGGTGAGTACCTAAACTGAAGTACTCATACTCAGTCTTGAAAAAACTGGTATCGGGACACCCCTAATATAAATATATATATATATATATATAAATAATGAGAAATTATGTTTTACTTCAGTTGGATCATATTCACTCAAAATCAAGTGAAAAAAACTTTCAAACACACTTTATAACCTATTTTGGTATCTATTTTGACTTGCTTTCTAAAAATAAAGTCAAGAACTTTTTTCCTTTACAGATTTGCAATGATGACTTTTTGTACAGTTTGTTTACTTTCTGATTCAGCTGCTTGGCATTTGAACTGTTTAGTGGATGTAAAAAWAAAAGTTTCCATAAACTTTTAGCCAAGATTCATAGGTTTATTTTGATACCAAACATGTCCAGGTTCAACTGACAGATCTTAAGTTAAAAGAAAAAAGAAAACCATCCAGCCTTCTGAGGCCCCCCTAGCACCCCCCACTTTGGGAACTCCTGCTGTACGGTATTTCTGCTCTGAAAGCAAAAACTTTGTCAAACTTTGAAAAAACAAACGAAATTCAAATTAAAAACCTAAATATTTTCAAGGCCCTTAACACCATTTTGTCACTCCTAAACAAATACAATAAATGTTAACACACATAGTTAGGCTTTAGCACAGCTGCTCAAAATATTATGAACACGTCTTAAAGGAATAGTTCAAATCTTTGTGTGTTTTTTTTTTGTGAAAAACATCATGAATAAAGAATATCTTACCTGCTGTAGAAATAATTTTGAATGACCTCACTTTGGAGAATGAGTGTTTAATTCTGACCACACTTCAAAAGATTTGAATTATTTCTTTAATTCTGTTAATGTGATCATTTGGGTGTGACACTGACTAACTCACAGACACATTGGGGAAAAGTTTCTACCCAGGGGTGATTATTTTTATCAGTTTGTTTACTTAAATAAAGTGCCAGTGATGCTTTTTAGAAGCACTTTGAGCAGCTGCAAAAATAAAGCAGGTAAAGATAAAGCAGGAGTCGATAACAGCTCTTTTACAGCATAAACACATCCAGATTGTGTTCTTTTCTGAACACCTGCTTTTATTAGAGCGCCACCTGTCCCTGAGGAGTGTCTCACCTCCGTCTCCTCTTCTAGCAGGCGAGTTGCCTCCTCACGCTCCAAACGCATGCGCTCCTTCACCATGAGAAGAAGTAGAGTGCAGAGAGGGAAACACACAACCACACAGTAATGGCATGAAGGGGTAGAAAGAGAAGACAGAGACGAGTCACAGTGAAAGGGTGAAATAATAGTTATAGAGGGAGGAAGTGGGATGATTGGATGATAATGTATCACACCAAACACGCCAAAAGGACAGGTGAGAGGAGGAAAAAAAACGGGGGAAAGAAAGGATAGAGTTCACAAACATTAAAAAGTACACTATTTATGTTTCTATGGAGGAGAAAAAGCATGCAAGGTGAGACACTGCAGGAACGCTTCTGTCCAAACTCAACACCCACACAAGGTGCAGAGGAAAAGCTTCACTCGTTCATTCGTTTGTTTTTGTTTTCCCCCCGTAGCTGCTCAGAACTGAGATACATTTTTACCCCGTTTCCTTCCCCCAACATCAACAGATTTTTAGTTTCACTTACAACTTTTTCCATCTCTTCTCTCTCCCACTGTGAGGTTTCTCTCACCATCTCAGACTCCTGCAGGAAAAAAAAGCAACATTCTGTAAACCTCAGCAGAAAAAAACAAACTAAAAAAGACCACATTCATATTCAAAAGGTAGTTATTTAAAATAATTTGTGGGTCTGAGAGTATGCAGAGCAGAAACAGAAGCAGAATTCAATAAACACACCCTGGCGTTRCTTCAGAACGGGCAGGGACTAAAACTTGACAAAATAAACAACAGCGCCGGTGCATTGTAGTCGCTCAGGCAGACACTGTGTAAATGTGGCGTGTATGACCGGAATGAGTGAAACTACTGTTATCAAATTCCACCTGCTAACACCAAACTGCTGTGGAAGCACAGTGCTGCTGCAGCAGAATCGCTGAACAAAACATTTGACTCGTGTCGGTGTGAATGCAGCGGGGCTCAGTTTGCACGATGCCAAGTTTTACCACGGCTCCTGACGGTCAAAACAAAACGTTTCAAGCTACTAATGTGGGAGTTTTTACAATTTTTACTCTTTACTACCCTGTAGGTTGAGTTGACACTGGTAATACTTGTTCTAATCAGATAATGATCAGGGTGTGAATCATTTTGTACCTTCTGTATTATGTCCATCTCCTCTGGACTCAGGTCTCGGTCTATAGAAGAGATGCTCTCCAAACTGTTCTTACGGACAATTCCAGTTGCGAAAGGGTTGGCAATGATCCCAGGAGATGCCTTAAAGACAAATGTTTGATTAAAAATGTGATCAATGTAAAAACAATGTAATTATTTGAAACCATTTAAACCCTACAATGTAAAAGTATGTGACACAATAACCATTCATTTTGGATTTGAAGCCAAAAACATTTAATAAACGTCCATTAATAGTGCCGCCTTCATAAGTGAACAAATATCCTTTACTACATGCACCAATTCATCCCATTCAATCATGAAAAAACATCCAGCTACCAGCTCAGAAGACACTTTATTTATCAAATAACACAAGAACTTTCTACTTTGCTAAAGTCTGTCTTAAATGAGCTGGAGCCCATGAGTTACAGGCAAGTAACAAGTGGTTTTATTTTCATTTTAATGTTTTAAACAATAACTGTGTCCACCCAGTTTCCTGAGGCATTCCTGAAATATTTGATGACAATTATCATAAGTTAGATCTGTTATATCAATCTTTTATCTGTCACAGTTTCTCTGTAGTGTTTTTGAATTATATGCATCACATTGTTTTTTTTTCTTTCATCCCAACTTCCATGATCCATGATTCCATAATCTGTACTATTAGAAACGTCATTGAATCTGGATGTGTATCAACTTATTGATCAAGGCYTTCACACTGTGACTTATCTGAATTGTTTTAATTGTTTTTATTTCCATCAACATTTAAAGTTCTTGCTGCAACATATCCACAGTCCCAACAGGCAGACAGTCAACAATGTCAGTCAAATAGTGTCTGCACTGTGATACTTTACAGTTAATAGTCTGTTGAGATTATTTTGCACTGAAAACAGGCAAATTCTGATTCCTAATGTCAGATTCTGATTGTCTACTGCACGCGTCAAACACAAGGCCCGCGGGCCAAATGTGCCCC